TTTGCCTCCAAAACATGATTTAATTTCATAATGTTCATGAAACACACATGTGGTTGCTCTGAGGAGGTTGATTGTCTGCAAATGTTTGCCAAATGCATAAATATGGTGCTAGAAATGATTTGTAAGAAATGTTTATTAGGAGGCAAACAGTATTTTTCTTCAACATTTTAAAGTGAAGCTGTAAAACAAATTTCTCTAAAATGTAAAATAAATCAGCTTCCTTCCTTCTGAGGGACATTCTCATTAAATGCTTAAATTGTTCCATGATTAGGATTTTTTCCTCAAATCACTAGTTAATGAAAATGTCACAATAAATTAGTCTATCAACATGGTCTTGATGCCCCCAGTGAGCAAATTTTCTTTTCTTTTGCACACTGTATAAATCTGGACTGTACTGATTATTTCGAGGAATACATGGTTTTGTGTGTGTGTGTGTGTGTGTGTGTGTGTGCTGTCAGGGAATAGTTAAGCAGAAAATAACAAATACAACAACAACAACAATAATAATAATATTATTATATTAATCATGTTCTGTTAGCTGGGTTCGGTTACATCAAAAGATCAGCCAATGTATATTTATTTAATTAAAACCTGTCTAACAACAGCTCACTAAATAATTGTGTGAAATAAATAATAATGTATATAAAGTCTGTATGTGTGTGTGTGTATATATATATATATATATATATATATATATATACTGTATATGTATGAATGAATGTATGTATAAGCTTTGTTTAAGAAAAAGTTTTTAGAAACATGAGATAACAGCTGAACAGAGATAAGTGATATATAATTATTTACAACCAATAAATATTTACCATGAAAAGGAAGTCTTAATAATAATAATAATAATAAAAACGAAATCTTGTAACATGGTTTTTCAAGTCTCTCCCCAACACCAGAGGGAGCCCTCTACCAACTCATAGGTTGTCCATTTGTTTTTTCCCCTCAATTTCTTCTCATATATATTCATATTAAATAGAGCATATGCTGCACCCCATGTGGACAAAAGGGTGGATCAATGTTATTGTCTGTTACCAAAATTCACAACATGGTGGAACATTTTTCTCGCAACAAACATTAAACAAATAAATAAATAAAAAATTATATATATATATATATATAAAAAAAATTTTTTATGTGCATGTTTAATGTTTGTTGCGAGAAAAATGTTCCACCATGTTGTGAATTTTGGTAACAGACAATAACATTGATCCACCCTTTTGTCCACATGGGGTGCAGCATATGCTCTATTTAATATGAATATATATGAGAAGAAATTGAGGGGAAAAAACAAATGGACAACCTATGAGTTACCTATATTTTCTGATAAGTTGTTACACTTGGATGAATGTCAAAATAAGGAAGAAAATATCTGTCGCTACTTCTGATCCAGTCTACATTCAGGTCTGCTTTTAGAGAGCATAAAAAACTGGACTAGAATATACAAATATTATTTCTAATGAAAACATTAAATACTGGGACTGTGTGTACTTCAAGATATTGTTAACACAATTCACTCACACTAAAACAAAATGTACTTACAGTTGACTACTTACAGTTTATTTACTAGACTGGTGACCGGTGTTACTGGATTAGTGTAAAATATATACCCTTTCAAAAACATTATAAAAATCTTACTGAATATTTGATGAATAGAAAGTTCAAAGGAACAGCATTTATTCGAAATATAATTTCTCTGTAAGATTACAAATGTCTTTATCGTCACTTTTAATCAAATTATTGTGTCCTTGCTGATTTAAAGTATTAATTTATTTAAAAAAAACAAAAAAACAACACTGACCCTAATGGGTATTTTTCAAAAAATATGTATAGTTTTAACATAATTAAGGACAGATCTGATAAAAAAAAAAGAATGCTGGGACTGAAATATGTATAAATATAATGAA